CATAAAGGAGGATCATTTGCCATGTTGGTTGAGAACCCCAACCCTAGACAATTAGAGCAGGCAAAGAGATTTTAACCAGCCAGAGTTCACTTCCGATGGGCAGAAGCCCTGTTAAATTGTTTTATAAACTTCTAAGGTGATAGCAAATGAAGAAGTGGATGGAAGAGTAAAAGGCGAAAATCAAATTGTTCTCCTTTCCCCCCCTAGCACAGGCATTTGAGCAGTCAGTGTGTGCCATATGTACAGTCATTTACTGTGACTAAAGGGAATAATGTTCCACGTTTCATAATACTGATCTCTTAGGCAATTTGAGAAAAACTAAGAACTAGACAGCTATCCATGTTATCCAGAAACACTTCAGGGGGGAGGGAGGCTTTCCAGCAAAATTTCATTTAAAAACAATGCCTTGAAGAGGCTTTCTGGAGGAGTGGAGGGAGGCTTCAAGGCGCTAACACGGAGCCTTTTCCCTCTTTTCCTGCTTGGGCGGACTTAATCCTCACAGATGTTTTTCCTGCCAAATACTTGTCTTACATGTAGTCTAAGACGGTGTTTAAAATTTTCAAAATTCCTTCTACAAGTGTATTCCTGTTTCCCCTGGAAAATGGGCTCAATCGATGTTAGAAAGAGACCCTGGTGTCAGAAAGGCCATCCTCTTTCCAGAAAAGGACCAAATATATCTGAAGTAATGTCCCTTTTTAATAAATTCTTAATTTCTCCCCCTAATTGTAGGCAGAATTATCAACATGCCCACCAAAGTGGATGACTACCACATAAGATTAGAATTTGCCTGCATATCATGTATCCTTAACCGTTACATGGAGATCCCTTGGAATGGAGGCTGTCTGTCAAGTTCTCTGCTATTGGAGAGGCCGCTTGTAAGATTTTCTGTTCCGCGGACTTAGCCTCGGAACACAGAGAACAGCAGAGTAGTGCTAAAGCAAACACTAAAGTGTAATTCAAGGCTGGACCCTGTCTTCATCAAGCAACGCTCTCATGCTGGCTATCAAATACTACACCATTTTTTTTTTTTAAATTTACTTGTGAAAGTGATCTGGAAAGGAGAAAGCAGTTCATCCATACTCACATTAATAAGAAAATCTTGCAGCAAGTAAATAATTTAGGAAAATTGTCTTTGTGATTTACTACGTAAAGATATGTGTGTTTGGTACGTTTCCTCACACTTAGAGGTATCTCTTGTAATCCCATCTGTCCGATGACATTCACACATTATACAATTGCAACTCTATCCTTACTCTGATAGAAGTTTAGAAACTTATCATCTAAAATTTAAATGCCCATTATCCATCAATGTTTATAATGTCTTATAAATCAAAGATTATAGTCAATTTTAAAGCACACAATTAAAATAAAATAATTTTGGAAGTAAGATAGTGTCAACCACCATTTTCTTCCGCTGACGTGAAAAACAAATCCATGCCTTTTTTTTTTAATCTGCAAATTATTTTGATTTCCTAAACTCATCCCAAATCTTTTCTTAAGGTATTTTTATATTTCTTGTTTTCCGAAGGGTTTAGATGGTGACTTCTGTAATACAACGACAGCTCCACATTGGCCAGCTTGCAGACTTAAAACAAAAATGTCCCAGATCCGAGTTATACGATTGTAACCTGCCTGATGAGCTTGTAAGGCTTCTCATGTCAGGACAGACAGGAGCAACAGCGGTATGGTTGTTGCTCAACTAAAGAATACAACAATAAGAGAACCAAGTACACCTGTTTGGAACAGAAGGCCTCCATGGATGCGCTGCGACCTGCAACCTTCCCAAGCGGCGAGCCGGACTCCAGAAAAACAAAACAACCGACCGAGCCCCGTTATTCATCATCGCATCTCAAGTGTTTCATTAGTTAAGTGCAGCTCTAAGACCCAATGTAAACCATGAGAACAAAACCTGTTTTCATCTTCTCCATGGTTTTACCAAAGTCGTTGACCTTGTCCAAAATGAAAACCATTGCTAATCAGCCAACGCAGACCTTAAAAGGTGAAAGACCCCTGTAGTCCCTAAAAGCTACACAACCTTAAGATTGATGTCTCCCTTATTCTGAAAAAGAGTGAAACTTAGGGAAGACTTAATGACCTCACTGAACTAACTACAAAAACTAAAAGAGTCACTCAGAATATTTAATATGGGCTTTAATTAAAAAAAAAATGTATCCGCAGCTTTAGTTCACTAATGCCTCCAAGTCTGGGGGCAGACAACTAATTTTCATCCAAAGGCAAGCAACCCGCTACCTCTTCTCAAAGATGGTCGATCCAAACTGCACCTCACAACAACATAAAAATGGTTGCTCAGATTAAATTATGCGAACGTAGTTTCAAAATAGCCCGCTCGGGTTTCAGCGCATTACAGATGGGCCTGCAAAGCGCTTGCCGTGTTCTGCTGGGTTCCAGCGGCATTGCTGTGGGCACGGAGGGAGATGCAAACCCCAAATCACCCTTATAAAGAAAAGCTCTGAAATATTAGAGCATGAACATCAAATCCCATGGGCACATCCACCGCCTTGGACCTTGTCCCTGAACACGGATCGGTCACCACTCCATGGGCACTGCTGCAGGGCTCCATCCTGGCCTGTAAGAGAAGGGGCCATCTTTGAAAGGCTCCCCCTTGTCTTTCAAAAATAGCATATTCTGGAGATGGAATTTTCCAAATGGGGGATAAATGTATAACTTACATTATTAATTACGTGAAGAAACTAAAGTATATCTTAAACTATCCATTTCTACAAGTAGGCTTTTTCCCCCCTACCTGGCAATACTTCAAACAGTTTTTTTTTTTTTTCGGGGAATAAAAAGTTCCGAGTTTTTAATATACTTAAAAGTGGGGGGAAACACAGGCTGATTACTAAAAACAAAGCGGTTTTGATAAATTTAACATGCAGGATGATTTCAGTACACAAGTCACTGGTTCACAGAGAAAGTTAGTTGTTTCAAATTCATAACTGATCAACTTGGAGGTTTTAGTAAGTAAACTTTAGATTTAAGCAGTTTTTATCTGTTGATTTATATTTATGTTGAGGACCGAAGAGAAACTTCAAGTAAGTTATAGAAACTGTCAATCCTCGTTAGGATTTGCTGAAACGCTTTGCAAAACAAGGGGAAAGAACGTTAGGAAATATTTTCACTTTTAAAAAGTTGCAAATCGCAAGGAGCTGAAAGTTATGTAAACTATCAAAGTTGAAGGCCCAAAGTTTCACAAGTAGAACAGGACTCTATGGTTTGACCAGCCAACAGATAGGGAACCATTTTGTCCTGAAATGTGACTCCGCCGTTATTGATGGCAAACTTGAATTTTCACTCTTTCTGTTACATAACTCGGTTTTTTAAACCATTCGTATTTGACTATTCGTTTCCGTTTACATTTCCACTCATTTCTCTTAGTGCATTACAATGAGTTCCCAACATCAGCACAACCAACCTAAAACACTTCAGCTCCCCATGTAGGTTTTCCTGAATTTACGTGCATTTAGTGCTGGTTAGTTTTGTGGAAGCACTCATTCTCCGAGCGTTTTTCAGGACTTTGTCACAGGCTAAACAAACCTGAAAAGAGCCTCCAAATAATCCAACATTTTAGGCCTCAAACTGTCAAGCCTTTTAAGGAATGGAGGAAACAAAAGGCCAGCGTCTTACTTTTACACTCTTCAGACAGGCTAAAGGACTTTCTGCGACGCCCTGACCACCCCAGCCTATGGATAGACGATGAAAATTCTCAACCTAAACGGCAAGGCAAGGTTCACCCCGTAACTAGTGGGAATCTTATTCTGCGGCTGAGAACTCTTTGCAAGGGCCATGTTGTAAACTCTTTGCAGTTAGGAAAAGCCAAGCGCGTTGTTTACAGGCCTCATCTCCCTTTGCCCCAAAGTCTCTAGTTGACTCCACTAAAGGTGCTTTTGTCCTCAGTGGCGATATCTCACACACTCTGACTAGGAGCGCGAGCACGCGCTTGACTTGCCATACATTCCAGTGGTCTCTAAGGACCAGAAGGATGAAAAATAGTCTCTGGGTCATTTCCCCCAACTTTGAGCTTATTTAGTTAAAAAGATCCAGTAACATCCCAGAGGAGAAAAGAGAGCATACGGAAAAACAAAAATTATCCACCCCCCCCCCACCCCCCACCCCCGAATAACTTAACTGTCTTCTACCCAATCTCACCAACAAGCCAGAATAACACTGAGGGCCAACAACACTTCACACACAGAGGGGCCGGCGAAGTTTAGCAGGGTATGAAAAGGAAGCCACAAAAGGGGGCCCCTGGGGTGTGTTCCAGGCGTACCCCAGGCCCCGCTCCCTTCTCCCTCTTACTTTTGGATGATCTGGGGCAGGCTGGCTTGAGGCTGCGGCGGTGGCAGTGGCGGCAGAGGCTGCATCCCTCTCTGGCCCTGGGGCGCGGGGGCCCCCTGAACACCAGGCACGACGCAGGCATCTCTGTCCGGTTGCTCCGGACCGCTGGGATCCGCGTCCTGGCTCATGGCTGCTGCCAGAACCATGCGCCGCTACACCGGCCCGGGCTCGCAGCGAAGGAGCGCGCGGGAGGGGCGGTCCCGGAACACAGGCGCTCACTGGCCGGGGTCCTTGTGCCCAGTCCCCTTGTCCTTCTCGGTGGCGCGGGGAGGAGACGCGAGGGGCGGGGAGGAGACAGTCCCCGCGGCGCCGCCTCCTCCTCCTCCTCCCGCCGCTCCCGCTGGTGCGGCTACCGAGGGGGGCGGAGGACAGGGACACGGACAGGGGGCGTCTCCGGGCCCACGGGAGCCGAGGGGAGCCCAGGAGCTGCTGCGCGCAGGGTGATCGGGACAGCTGCGCCTGCCCACCCGAGGCGCAGTGAGCTGGGACGCAGCGCAGCGGGCGCCACCAGCCTCCGCGAGCCCTTCGGGGTGGCCAGCCAGGCGCTCCGCAGCGCGACACCCGCGTGAGAGGGCGACACACACGCCCGCCAGCTATCCGCCGCCCTGTCACTTCTTCCGGAGCGCACAGCCTGACCGGCTCCAGCGGAGCCCCGCGGACATCGCCAGCGCGAAGCGCGCCCCAAGCTTGGCATCCTCCTGCGGCTGGAGCAAGGCCAGAGTCACTGGAGGGACCCGACCCCGACACATCCTTCCCTGGGTAGGTGGGTGGGACAGCAGTCTCGGGGCTCAGATTATCAGGCCCAGAAGCTCACCACACTGGCAGTTCCAGCTGTCGCTTCGGGGGTCCCAGAGGCAGCCGGTGGGGTCGCCGTGGGTTCATTTCCTTTTCTTTTCACCTACCGAGACCCCATGAGAGCAAAAAACAAAACCAGGCAGACGTTCCGTTCGTATTTATTGGCACATCTCGGTCGGAATTTAAAGGCTGAGGACAGAGTTCACCGACTCTGCTAACTGCCCCGAGCCCGCCTGCGCTGGGCACCTGTGTGCACCAGGGTCACAGCTGTGCACACCCGCAGAGTGAGGCTTTGACGACAGAGCAGCCGCGGGTGCAGGTTAACGTGCGTGCGTGGAGGAAACACCTGGTCCAGCAGACCGGCTAGTACCTGAGCAAAGGCCCGGGCCGTGGATGCCCCGGAGCTCCCTCTGGGCTGTGCGATTCACCGGTGTTCCAGACCTGGACGGCCCCCCCGCCCCCCGCAGCCAAGCTCCTCTGCTCTGCTTTGCAAGTCAGAGTGCAGCCAGCTGCCCCCACCGCCTTAAGTTCTGCCTACCTACTGCACACACCGGAAAACTGTAAAGATGGCTGCTCGCAAACCTGACAATTACTCGAATTCTCTGAAAGATGATTTTTTTTTCTCTCTCTTGATTCTTCGTCAATTTCCCTACCTACCCCAGGAAACTGCCTACTTCTGCCACACTACCTAGGACGGGTCTCTCTCTCTCTCTCTCTCTCTCTCTCTCTCTCTCTCTCTCTCTCTCTCTCTCTCTCTCGTAAACTTGTGTTCTCAATTACAATTAATATTTGTATTCATAAACATCACATCATTCACAGTTCACACAACTAAGTCTGAAAAACAAACAAACCCCTCTCAAGTAATCGTGGCTTGCTTGCGGGCCCCTCTGACAAGGCGAGAGCACATTAGTCTGAAGAAGACATGGAGACATGAGGCCAGGAAGTCTTGTCCAGTTTTCTGTGGTTGGTTTCTGTCGCTGAATCCTTGACTGTGGCTTCCAAACACTCCATCTTAACCTCCCCCCACCCCACCCCACCCCACACACATTCCCTTGACCCTGGAGGGAAATGACCTAAAACTAACATTGCAACTCTCCCAGAATTGAAAATGAATGAAGTCTCCCCAAATGTTTTTACTGAAATGTCTTCCAGAGAATCCTCTAAAACCTCTGGAAAGGGCTTTGTAGTCCCAGAGGCAGATCTGTTTCTGAGTACTCTCCTGAGGGCTGGTTAGCAAACCCTAAGTAAATTAGGAGTGATGAAGCCCTGGTTCCAAGGTAGGGTGGGAGGTCCAGCATTCAGGAGGTGTTCAGAGTCACTGTTTTTTACAGGTGTGAGTCAACAGTCCAATCTTAGCCAGCTTGAACAAGGTATTTTTAAAACCCCCAGGAAACTGAGTGAGTGGAACCACTCCAGTGTTATTATTAAAGACTTAATAACATGGAACTCTATGGACTCCTCCCTAGGGGAATGAGTGGAGAGAGATGGGGGGAGGGGTTGACTGAGTGCAAACCTGGACAGCAGAGCAAAGGAACATTGAACACTCACTGGGCTTTTTTTACATCTTTTCTGTGAGCTTGAAAAAAAAAAGCATGATCCACAGGCATTTTCCCCCAGAAATCCTATTTCCATGATTATAGCTGAGTATTTGCCATTTGTGACGCAGACCTGAAGCCAGAGGACAGCCCTGAGGAAGGAACCTTAAGGTAATTGAGGCAGGTCCCCGGGAATGCTGCCTGGGGTGATAGCGAACATGAGTTTCTATTTTCCAATCAAACATTGAACACTCTAAACAACTGGAGGGTAAGTTTACTTTTCCTCACTTTTTGTCCAGGAGTGAAAAAAAAAAAACCTAAAGATATTATCTAGGATCCTAATCGACCCCCACACACACGCCACCCCCTAAGAGTGCACTTCACTGTGAGTAAATGAGAAAGGCTGAGTCATCCACTTCCCTCACAGTGGGGAGTGTGATGCACCGGAGGGCTGACAGCAGCTCGTTGCTCCTCTGTGCAGAGCATCCTGTCCCTCCTTGACCCACAAAGATCAGGCAGTGAAGCTTTTGTTGTGTGTGGACATTTAACGGAGTCAGTGGTGAAGTACTCTCGTTGTTACCTTCAGACAGTAACCCCGTGAGCTAACTGGCATTACCTGTGTTTGACAACCAAGGAAACTGAGCCTCTCAGACGGCTATGAGAACTTTGCTCAAGGTCACCCAGCTTCTAAGGGACAGAAGCAAGACTACTGCTGGGCCGGTCCAGCTTCCAGTCTCATCCCTCACCCCTCCCAGCATTGCCTGGATGGTGGCAGTGGAGCTGAGAGCTCACTGTCCAGTGCTGCTGCATCCTCCATTGAATACAAAGCACCACTGTACTTGATTCAACAGATCTGTAAATTAGTAGGCGGTGTCTAAATTGTATTGGGAACATTTGAGGCAATGAAGCACCCGTGGGGAATTGGTAGAAATGAAGGGGAAATACAACTGGGTCTGTTATTCCAGGGTCAACCATTCTCAAACTTGCTGTGACACTGGCACCCTGCCCTGTCTTGTAACCTGAATAATTAATGTTACTGGATTTCAGGCGCTGTTTTCTCATGCCTGGTCATTGAATGCCACCTCTTTGCAGACAGTGAAGCTTGAAGAACATGCGCAAGGTCTCTGGGACGCTGAGCAGCAGAGCTGAGGCTCAGTGCTTATTCTGCCTCCCAGTGGCACCCTGTCCTCTACCCAAAGGGAAGTCACCTACCTTTCAGGCTGATGTAATCAGTCCTCTGCAGAAGGGACCATTTCAGATGTGCTGCCCCTCCGATATGTACACCAGTAGACGGTAAAGTTTTGTGCTCCCAAACCTCTAAAACCTCTGGAAAGGGCTTTGTAGTCCCAGAGGCAGATCTGTTTCTGAGTACTCTCTGAGGTTTTAGAGGCTGGGCGACACAGACCTCCTCACTCTCTGATGCAAGGAGAAGTGCAAACGGTTGCAGTCCCTTGCATGTGAGCTGGGATTGTCTATTAACATTGCAACAAGGTCAGAGGAGGAACAGACAGGAGGAGGCGCAGGGAAGGACAGGGAGGAGGGAATATGGGCCAGGAGCATATAGACAGCTATGAAAACGCCATAATGAAGCCCAATGTTTTGTATGCTAACTAAAAATACTTAGTTTTACATTTCAACACAGAAAACTGGTTCTCTAAGCATTTGGGTAACCACCATCAAAGCTGTATGTACTTTCAAGGGAACTGACTGGTATTGTTCACAGTAGCAAAAGCTAGAAGCAACCAAAAGAGCAGTGGCGGATGGTTGGTGTGCATAAAGAAGGTCCCTACTCCCATCTGAGGAACTCTCAATAGGGAGATATTTGCCTGGCTCAGGAGAGGTTTCTTGAGAGAAAATGATAGTCTCTCAAGAGCACTGTATCATGATTAAATGTTCTAAATAGAACATCTCTGGAAAATTATAAATAGAACATCTCTGGAAAATTATACAGGTAAGTAAGTATCAATAGTGAGTACCTCTAGAAACTGGGATGTGGCAAGAGCCTTTTCCTTCTGTGGCCTTTTATATTATTTAAACATTTGGAATAAAATTTATTGAAATATATACAACTTGAATTTTCAGTTTGAACATTGCTTTTTATATCAGTGAAACTTAATGATTCATTGTTGAATTATCATCCATTAACAACCTGAAATAATTAATAAGATTTTTTTTACTTATATTTTCATTGCATTTTTTTTATTGGTGGGATGGTGAATGCCACAGTGAATGTATAGAGGCCAGAGGTCAACTTGCAGGAATCAGTTTTTTCCTTTCACCATGTGACTCCTGGGTGACCTGAGCTCAGCAGGCGTGACCACAAATGCCTTAATCTACCAATCTCTACCGATCCATCCTGCCAACCCCAGAATGTTTAAAAAAAAAAAAAAAAGCAAAAATTCATCAGAAGGAACTAAGGAAAGACACTGGACAGGGACAGTGTATTATTCAGACTTCAGCCCTGCTTTTTTTGATGTACAAGCCATCCCATTAGAGACAGTTACATAAGGAAAGCCACAGTTACCAGTAGTCATGTTTATACAAGCAGAATCTAGCAGTCTCCTAATTCAGAAGACATTTGAGGCATCTAGACCCAGATGTATTAATTCATCAGGACATCATCAGCAACTGTTGCGTTTCTTGGATGTTTACCCCCCTTTCATTTTTACAATCACCTTACTAGATAGTAGCTGATGTTATTGTTGCTGTTTTGAACCAAGATAAGCAAGCATTCTACCAAATGAGCTACATCAAGTCATTTCTGCGCCCATTTTGCAGGTTAAAAAATAATAATAACAACAACCATCTCCAACACAAGTCATTTTTGTGCCCATTTTGCAGATCTAAAAATTAAAAAAAACAAAAACCAACAACTTAAGGCTTGATAAAGTCCAGCTACGTAGCCAGCCAGGAAGCCCGGTCTCTGGTCTTCTCAGAGGTGAGCTTTTAGTGTGTCTTGGTGTGTCTTGGTAAAATGGGAGCCCAGGACTCAGCTTGCCTCTCTCTGCCCTCAGGTCCTGACCCTGCCTGCTGTCTGTGCCACCTCATCGTTTCCCCTGTCGAGGGCCCCTGAGGCGGCATTAGTTGGCCAGTCTCTCCTCCGTGCCATCCCTGCAGATGGTTGTAAGCAACCGAGAGCAGCATCCGGGCTTCACACAGAATCATCTCTCTGAAACAACAACAACAACAAACAGGAGAGACCAGCCGAAAGATGCCGTTTAAAAATAATGCGGTTACTCATGGAACTGGATGCGCTTTTGCATGTGAAGGAGACGGGCAGGGAACTTTAGCTGAGGACCGGTGAGGACATGACCCACGTTAGGCTCTTTTCTGCCTAACGACTCAGAGGCCATCTCTCATTGGCTGCAGGAGAGAGCTTCTCTCCATCCCATTGGATGGGACTTTACCAGCGGGCCCTTAGTCCTCTGCTAAACCCGTGGCAGGTACTCCATTGTGGTCCAAGTGGCTGCAGCTTGGGAGTCCAGAAATCCAGGTTCTAGAGCTGCCCCATGTCCCCGACAGAAAAGCAGTTATCCCATACCAGTGACACCAGCATCTTTGCCTCCTTCAAGAGCACCATTGTCTCAAGCAGCAGGGGTACAGCGCCTTCTTCTTCTGCTTGTTCAGGACCTGGCCACAAACCCAAGGGCAGGCTGAGTCCAGAATCCAGGGTCTCAGAACAGCAGAGTGCAGGCTTGCCTGGACCCGGCTTCCTGGGAAAACAGGGTTCTGAGGGAGGCCTGGATGAGCCGAAAAGGATCTTCTCTCGTTTGCAGTTAGAAGACAATTAAGACAGGATCCAGTACAGCTTCGTGTTAAAAGCCAGTCACTGCTGAATTCCTCATGGGTAGGAGGAGGATGGGAAGTGAGGAGGCATGACATGCATGTGGGGGAAATCTTAGCTGGTGGTTAATTGCATGATTTAAGTTCCATAGGGCTCTGCACCCCCTGGGGAGACCCGGCTTCCACACTACATGCTTAATCCCTGGAGAATGTCACTGTCACTCAGGGGCCTCAGCCAGGCAATCGGTGCCTCTGGGAGAGAGGGGATTCCTTCATCCCAACCCTCCCCCAGCACCCTCCTCTGTCTCCTCTTTTCACCTGCCTGCCTGTCTGTCTGTCAGGCCAGTTGGTCGTCAGAGCATAAACATTTCAGGCTGTGTGCCCACCAGCTCTGGGATCAGGTGACCATTATGGAAGGCTACACCGGAGGCCTCTGCATGCCAGCATGTCGCCAGGAACAGTGAGAGCCTGTGATGTGCTGACCTCACAGAGTGGGCACCCGTGCAGCTGGCCTGGAGTGAGTGCCTCTCCCTGGTATGGCTTCTTTGATCATCCCTAGGCCGCCCTGCAGGCACAGGAAGCCCTGCTGGTTCTCTCTCTGGACAGATGGTAGGTCTACAAGCTGTTAGTGCAGTCCCTTTGCCTCTTGGAACCTCTGTGTCACTTTCTGAAAGACAGAAGCAGAGCCAGGTGTGGTGGCACATGCAAGTTTCTTGATCAGGAGGTGGAGGCAGGAGAATTGGGGTTTCAAAGTCATTTTTGGCTACTTAGGGAGTTTGAGGCAAGCCTGGATCACATGAGACTCTGACTCAGAAAAACAAAAAGAAAACAATGAGGTTACTGTGAGGGTGAAATGAAAAAACAGGACAATGTCATCTGGCTTCTGATGGGACTCAGTAAGCCACTGTGGGCTGTTTTTATCGTGATTTGTGGACTCGCTGTGAGAGGAGGGGGTAATTGTCATACAGTCCTTCTCTGGGTGCCAGCACCCTCTGCATGTACAAGCCCTGGGTGAAAAGACACCATCCCAGAAACAGGCAAAAGAGGAGTAGGGGCATTGCCAGAGGAACCCGTGATGACTGAAAAACTCACAGACCTGCATCTGAGTCCCGGTTCTGCCCACTGTCATCAAGCTCCTGAGACTGTATTACCTAACTCCTCAGTGCTTCCTGACCTTCCTCATCTGGAAGATGGGCATGACAGATCTCTCCTCCACTGTTGTTGGGCTCAAGAGTGGCTCAGGGTCACCTCTCAGTGCACATACTGTGATATGACATTCTTTTTGCTCCATGTCATCCTGCATCTGGTGAGGCCAGGACAGCAGGAGGGCAGAGGGTAAGGCCCTGGCTCCCTTCTGTTTGGTGGAGGCATGGGGGGGACCACTACAGGGGAGTGCCTTCTTCTTGGACTATTTTCCTTAGAAATTCAATGTCAGGTGGTTAAAGAATCCTAAAAGGGGCTGGGAGTATTGCTTAGTTGGTAGAATGCTTGTCCGTCAGACACAGATCTGCTGTGGGATATCTTTCTGTAGGCTGTGAATATGTGTTACTCCCATTGGCTAATAAGTAAAGTTGCATTGGCCTATGGCAGGGCAGGATGGAGCCAGGTGGGAAAATCCAAGGGAGATAGTGGGAGGAGAAGGGCAGAGTGAAAGACTCGAGCCAGCTGTCCAAGGAGCACCATGTAATGGGATGCAGGTAAAGCCATGAACACGTGGTGATACGTAGATTAATGGGTTGAGTTAAGTTATAAGAGCTAGCTAGTAAAAAGCCTGAGCCAAGGTCATATAATTTGCAATTAATAGTTAGCCTCTAGGTGATTATTTTTTAAGCAGCTGCAGGACCTCTGGGGCTGGGCGGGACCAGAGAAACTTCCAGCTACACAGATCCCTGGGTTTGACCCCAGCACCACATAATCTGGCCTATGGCACATGCCTGCAATCCCAGCACTCAGGAGGTGGAGACAGGGGAATCATGAATTCAAGGTCATCCTTGGCTATATGGTGAGTTTGAAGCCAGGTTGGAATATTGTGAGCTGTGCTGTGTCCTCCCAAAAGCCTTGGCGAAGAACTGATCCCTACTACATGAAAATGTGATTCGGAAATAATCTTTGCAGATGTCATCAAGTTAAGGTTTGAGCGTGAAGGTGAGTGTAGCTGGAGAGTTTCTCTCCAGGTCCCGCCAAGGCCCAGCAGTCCTGTAGCCCACTTATAAAATAAACACACAGACTCTTATATTACTTATAAAACTGTATGACCGTGGCAGGCTTCTTGTTATCTACTTCTTATATCTTAAATTAACCCATTTCCTACCTGGAAAACAGGACCCCAAGAAAGACACAGGGATTGCCCAATGACGGAGAAATGGATGAGATCTACATGAACAGCCTGGACATGAGTGGGGGTAATGAAGGGCGAGGGTCGAGGGAAAGAGAGCTTGGGGGAGCGGTAGATCCCAGCTGGATCAAGAACAGAGAAGGAGAACAAGGAATAGGAGACCATGGTAAATGAAGACCACATGAGAATAGGAAGAAGCAAAGTGCTAGAGAGGCCCACAGAAATCCACAAAGATACCTCCACAATAGACTGCTGGCAATGGTTGAGAGACAGCCCGAACTGACCTACTCTGGTGATAGGATGGCCAAACACCCTAATTGTCATGCTAGAAACCCCATCCAATGACTGAGGGAACTGGATGCAGAGATCCACGGCTAGGCCCCGGGTGGAGCTCCGGGAGTCCAATTGGCGAGAAAGATTAGGGTTTATATGAGCGAGAATTGTTGAGACCAAGGTTGGATAAAGCACAGGGACAAATAGCCAAATGAATGGAAACACATGAACTATGAACAAATGGCTGAGGGGCCCCCCAAGTGGATTAGGCCCTCTGAATGGGTGAGACAGTTGTTTGGCTTGATCTGTTTGGGAGGCATCCAGGCAGTGGGACCAGGTCCTGTGCTCAGTGTATGAGTTGGCTGTTTGAAACCTGGGGCTTATGCAGGATCGCTTGGCTCAGCCTGGGAGGAGGGGACTGGACCTGCCTGGACTGAGTCTACCAGGTTGATCTCAGTCCTCGGGGGAGGCTTTGCCCTGGAGGAGATGGGAATGGGGAGTGGGCTGGGGGGAAGGTGAGGGGTGCGGGAGGGGGAAGAACAAGGGAATCCGTGGCTGATATGTAGAATTAAATTATATTGTAAAATAAAATAAAATAAAAATTTAAAAAATTAACCCATTTCTATAAATCTATACTTTGCCACGTGGCTCGTGGCTTACCGGTACCTTACATCTGGCTTGTCATGGTGGCGGCTGGCAGTGTCTCTGCGCCTCTGACTTCCACTTCCGAGAATTTTCCTCTCTGTTAGTCCCACCTATACTTCCTGCCTGGCTACTGGCCAATCAGTGTTTTATTTACTAACCAATCAGAGCAACACATTTGACATACAGAACATCCCACAGCAGGTGACACCTAATCCAACGTGATAAGTGTATCTTACAAGGGGAGGGGACTTTGGACATAGATGCACAGGGGACAGCACCACATAAAAGATGGAAATAGTAGGGTTACTATTGCAGCTGTAAGCTAAGGAATATTAAAAGATTGACAGCAACCAGTTGCCAGAAGCCAGGAGGAGGTAGGGAGGGATCACACCCACACTCACAGCTCCACTGGAATCCTGATTTCCAAGCCCCGGAAGTATGGAATGATAAAGTTACTTCAGGCTCCCTAGCTTATGGTATCTGGTTATAGCAGTTCTGGGAAACTAACAAGGGAGGAAAGAGATGGGGACAGGGAGATGCTAGGGAGGGGACTGTTTCTTGATCTGAGAGCCCCCAAAATAGAGGAAAGAATTCACAGATGTTCCCTCCACCTTACACCCATCCCAACAGGCTTCGAACCTCGTTCCTGGTTCCTTCCAAGGAAGGCTTTGGAGCCTAGTAAGATAGGAGGTAGGGAAAGTACATGGAGATAAGGACCCTTGGTCCAAGAAGGAAGCATTCTGGCATCATACATACCCCAGCAGCCTCACCCTGGTTGAGCCTTTTGAGTTGACTGGGAAAGCATCTCTGCATTCATCCACCCACTTCCTCTTGTTTGCCACTGGTCCCCACTGAGGGTTCCCCACCCACACTCCTGCCAGGTTGAGACTCCTCATCAACGCTCCCATACTTAGTAAACCTCCACAGACTCCTCCCATCTAGGAATACCTCCTTCATTAGAAAGGTTGGTGGACTCATGATTGGCAAACTCATGAGCAGTGTGCATGCCCTGAGAGAGGCCATGTGTGCTTGTGATAACATGGTCCCCTTATTCTGCCTCTTCCTTTAGTTTTCCTGTGTCATTCTTTGTTCCCCTAACTATATGAAGAGCACCCAGACCACATTTCTTAGAAGCTCTTTCGGTATCACCATGATCTGTCCCTGCATGAACGGACATGTATTTACTTGGTGCAATGCAAAAATGTTGACTATGAAAATCTAGGGAGCTGGAGTGCTTTTTCAGCTCTTCTGCTGTTTTGCTGGTAGCACTGTTACTAGAGATAAATGGTGTTAGAACCAGACAGACCTTGCCTAAATCTTATGTGTGAACTTAGGCAATCAGTTGCTGTGTGAACTCAGGCAATATACCTAACTGTTCTGCACCTGTTTTCTCATCTATAAAACAAGTCTCCTGAGTAGTGAGACTTGCAATACTGTGTGGCAAGCATATAATAGGTGCAGAGTTCATCCGTGGAATGAATAATTTGGGTAAGTGTTCAATCCCATGTCAGCGAAAGTTGCTAAGATTAAGATACAGTGGCAAACAAACTCAGTTTCCCTGACTATGCACTCACAGCACGGTTCCGTGTCCCACTTCTGTGTGGGATCTCCTCCCAACAGCTAGCAAACTGTAATTCAATTCACCGTCCATCTAGCTGGAGAAGTTCTTTATGGACAGATCCAAGACAGGAAGGAGGCGACCAGAGCGTGAGGACTGAGTTAGAGAAAACAGGAAGGCAGACAACTGGGGTGTCTCTGAATCGAGTTAGAGAAGAGAGATTCTAGTTTCTGCTGATTTGAACAGGGAATTGCAGGCCAAGCATCATGGTTCCTGGCCCATAGACACCATCAGTCAGGTTTCCTGCCAAGCAGAGACTGGAGGTGAAAAGGGGTACAGAATTATTAGGGTGTCTCCTCTGGTAACACATGTGGAATGAAACAGGATTGGACTGAAGAGAAGTTAGGCTATGAGAATAAATGGTAATGGGGACCTCAGCTGATACTATGAAAGGTCTAAAACAGGGTTCTCAAACTGTGGGTCACGATTTCTGCCGGGGTCACATATCAGATATCCCGCACATCAGATATTTACAGTATGATTCATTACAGTAGCAAAATTACAGCTATGAAGTAGCAACAAAAATAATTAGGAAGGCTGAGAACCACTGTTCTAAAGCTTGATGGCCCTTCAGAAGTGATAAAATGGCCTTCAGCTTCTCCACGTCTACACCCTCCCAGGGTGAAGTCTAAGAGAAAAGCGTGCTTCTCCCTCAGTGATCCTAACAACATCCTTGTCGCCTGCTCTGGTTGTGATAGCCTCAAACCCATCTATAGCCAGGAAATGTGTCACCTCATCCTCTGAGCCTGTGTCACGTCCACTCTTGGTGACGTCAACTCTACCTGAGTGCCAAACTGAAACCGGGAGTTTATGGCTCCCAAACTGGGAAGTCACAGGGTGCCAGGGCGAGCGGTTTCTGGGCCTAACTACACTCTGTTCTTTTACTTGAAAAAAAAAAATGTCTATCATGTCCCCAGGGTTTGTCTTGGCAGGTGTGTCCTGAGCTCGAAGGACACAGAGCAACAGGTATTTCAGAACACTTGGCACACAGTAAAGATATTTGAAAAATGTTCACAAAACAAAGATGAA